TGAAATCGTATTAATTTCTACTAAATTTTACATTTCAGTTCAAACAATGACCCCATTGAAGGGGTGTAAGCTCTACTGGCCAATGCTTAGCTATCATATTGATGACCGTCATGATAAGGATCTCATACAAGTACAGAACCCAAAAGACAATGATATCTTTGAAGTAAGCAATGAAAATGTTCTTTATTCTGATGGATTAAATGCAACATTTCTCAAATTTACTGGAGAGAGAAGACGGTATGTTGAAACAGATGTTAAACCCGGCAAGGAATATGATAAAAAATTTGCCTTTAGTATGATTTTTAAATCGTCTTTAAGAAATGGAACACTCTTCCACTACAAAGCGAATTCTAATTTGGCAGAAATAACAGAAATTAAAATTGTACTGGAAAATGGAGTTATCAAACCATCGATTGGGTGCCCTGACAGCATGACATGTTCGACCATGATACAAAATGACAATCTATATGATTTATGGACAGGTTTTCAGGTTAAGTATGAGTTTCATGATAAGATTACACTAGATGGAAATGCTCGTATTGGAGGTTCATTTGACAATCCTATTGGAGAATTTGTTGGTGTTTTTCAATGTGTAATTATGGAACGTGAAGCACATTCAAACCCAAAGGAATGGAATGAAAAATGTCATTATAAAGAGATTATTAAAGAAGGTAATTTCTGCATATTTCTTCTAAAAGCATTCTTAGCAAGAATATAATGATAATAATAATAATAAAATCAGTTTATTTATTTGACCATGAGGGGATGTGGCTACAGTTCACCTTCATAGAATAATTTATAGTACATAATTTATATTATATGTACAATATTCCATGTAATATATTTAAAAAAAACAGATATTGATATACATTTAAAATACAATATGATAAACAATAATCAGTGGTATGTTATGCAATACTTCATCAAACTATTTTGGTTTTATAAGCCTTTTTGGCACACCTAAAAAAATATTTTTATTTTTACCAAGTATTTTTTTCGAAATTCGAATTTCACAACTGGAAATTTTTATTTCTAAAACAAGGACTTCACAAGTCCTTATTAAAATTGTGGTTTTACGTTTAATATTTCATCAAAAAAATTGACTTAAGTAGACGAACAACTCTATACTTAAGGTATTTTGGTCACAGTAATACGGGCACAAGGTGTTTTGCACAAATTAGATTTTTGGTATGATTTGACACAGATGGGTGACTGCCCTCGATATACTGAAAATGTATCAGGAAAGTGGGCGTATCTTGCTAGGTAACCACTTGTTAACGATTTTGGTATGTCGCGGCATGCGTCCGAACCTTCCGTTCCTTAGGTGGACGCTCTTAATTCTAGGCTACCTAGGACGATCTTAAAGGTAAAATAACACATGTTAACTTTTTATTAAAAAGAAACATTGAGAAAAATAAAAAAAATAATCTTTTCCGGAGGTTTTCAAAAATATATTTCAATAATAATTCTAACTATAAAAAAACAGAAAATAAACTTCTCTTCTTGAGAATTTCTAAAACCTACCTAACCCTGACCCTAACCCTACCTACCTTGTTACCGGATATTTACACCCCCTGTAACTGTGACCATATTAAAATGTGCCCTTATTAATATGACTAAAATACGTTGTGCCCGTATTACTGTGACCATAATACCTTGTGCCCGTATTACTGTGACGATATTTCCTGTGATATTGATATAAATATCTTTCTCGGTGATTTTTTTATTGAAGACATTTTGGCGAGAACGGCAATATGAAATATTTATCCTTCAGACTTACACTTTCATATTCTTTGGTTTTTAATTGTTTTTTTTAAGTGATAATTTCTTTAGTGTTAGCTGACTAGAAACAAATGATT